CATCACTGTCTGTGTTTTCTGAAGCTTCGGATCATTTCTTGAGGAGAAAAAAACCTGTTTCTTGAAGGAAACAGTTTTTTCATCAAGGTAGAAAGTATTATATCTTGTCAAGCAAGAAGGTGAAAGGTTAGGGAGGTTACTCACTCACTCATGTTTTCATGCCTGAGTTGCAGACAAAAGGCTTCATCGGTTAGGTTAGATGCTGCCTACACGTAATCAGTTTAGAGCGAGCGGGTGCGAGGTGGGAACGATTTTTTTGCTCTTGGTCCAATTTGTGCGCAGTCAGAATGCGGAAAAGGTTAAGCTGACGGTAGAGTGTTCGCTCACAACAAAATTGCGAAAACAGAAACCGAAGCCAAACATTATTTGAACTGCGGGCTGAGAAGCTAAAAATCTGCTCTTACAGAACGGTGGTTTATATTCTTTGCTTTTTGCTCCAGAGAAAGCGAGATGTCAAACACTAGTTTTTCCCATAACACTAGCTACAGAATTAATTAAAGTTATAAATCAGTTGTCCACATAAATAATGGTGATGCATGGTAATAGACTTATTTTACGAATTTTAAATGCGTATACGTTCAAATATATTCCTGTCCTGAGAGCCTTTCGTTTATTTCAGTCATGTGATCCTTGCAACGGCGGGCTCTAGGAACACTCACTATCAGATCTCCTACTAACTCGTCCCCAGAACATCCCGGTTTTTAGTCATGTGGTAAGCGAGGCAGCTGCAATTAAGGCATTCACATCATCACCCCACTCACCCGACCCATGCGCGTATAAAAACAGATGCGATAAAATGTTACATGTAAATTTTTGTTTCATTTTAATAACAGATCTCCACAAAATAAAATTAACAATAAAAAGTACAAGTGGTTGTATGAGCAGGACTACTTGTACTGTGAAATATGCAGTTACCTCCAAATGTATGGATTTTTCTTTTCCTCATTGTCAGACGTAAATCGTATTTTTCTTAGCTTACTAGGCATCTTAAAAACATTAGGGGTTGGGGGTTGAAAACTTAACAGATCTTTTACAATATAATCTCATGAGTACTGGATCTTCCTTTAACAACAAAACTTCTTTGAATGTTCCTGAAAAATCACCGAACCCAGCGCTAACAAGAAGTAATATTTGATTACCTGTCCGAGGACGCGAAAGAAAATACGCGGGTATATACAGATGCGGACAAACCATCGTGACCTTTAATNGAGTACTGGATCTTCCTTTAATAACAAAACGTCTTTGAATGTTCCTGAAAAATCACCGAGCCCAGCGCTAACAAGAAGTAATATTTGATCACCTGTCCGAGGACGCGAAAGAAAATACACAGGTATATACATGTGCGGACAAACCATTGTGACTCTTTATCAAGGCTCGCATTACAGGTCAGTAATAATAGGCAGTAGCACTACCCGCGAGTATAGAAGTCAAGTGGTGAAGTATTTTTCCAATGCGTCCTCTGCTGGGTAGAATACAAAGTGTGGATAATGGATGCCATCAATAGTGCCGTGAGGGTATGCTGCACTGATGTGATACACATCCAGCACAGGGATACCAGCTTCACACATTTTCTTCATAGCGTAGGCGTTGAACAATTTAATTCGCTGTAGAAAGAAACGGACATTTGTGTGCATTTGTTAATATTCTCGAGCACCTCTCAGTTAGCTATAACTACGTTGAAAATTTTTTCTCAAATCACACAGCACTCTTTAAGATGTCAAGTAATTCTATATAGTTTCTTTGTTTTTTCTTCGGCTAGGATCTATTTACACCTATTGGATTTAAAAACTTGCGTAGCATCCAAAACAGATATTTTCTTCTTTTCCAGCCGATGAAAAGCCAAGAAAAAGCACTCGTGACTTTGCTAAACGCGCGTGCATTTTCCCGCGCTTTTCACCGGTTGCCTGTTTTTTTCTCGAGCTACGATTGGCTCATTTTGTTTTCCACGTGTTCCCCAAGTTAAAAAAACTTGCTTTACCAGTTTTCATTACCTGTTCAGTGTGAAAGCGCCGAGAACAGCCAGTATACAGCTCGGTCTGTTTGCCAAGGGAGGGCGTGGTCTTCCATATCACTTTACCTCTGTAGATGCCCCTTAGAAGTCGAATAAAACCTTTGATGACCTTCTGGTAATTTCTAAAACTTGTGCTTTTCAAGAGGTGAACTCCAGCGTTTAGTACTAAGGCGCTATCTTGGTCCATCAAAGGCTGCGTCACGACTTTTCGGAGCTCTCCTACCACTTGTGTCACGTTAATATCCTGACCTCCGTAACTAGAAAACGAATGACAATCAATTACAACCGACTTCGAATCTGATAACGAACGCTGCAGACTCATCAACAGTATAAGGTTAGGAATGAAAAAGGTCAAAAAGAAGGGGTATGCTCAAGGCAAGTTTGACGGAAAATAGACTGGTTTATTTCACGTTTTCTCCAGTTCTTCATTTTCATTTGATCCCGAATGACGATTATATAACATCAGAACCCAGGACAAATTGAAGACAAAGAATTTTCAATTCATATCCGTAAACAATCAATCATTGGTCACGAAATCTCACGCTTCATGTTATATATGTGAACACGGGATATGCCCAATCACAGCTCATGAACAGGCCTTTTGCCATTTTCACAATATACTGCCACTCCACGCATCAATGCTAACTGGTTCGCCAGTCCCTTCTTATGGACCAGGAACAAGATTGCATCCCGGCTTAACAGACAGCTGGCTGAGATGTGAGAAATGCTACTTTGAAAATATGAATTTTCCTTAGTGATTTCCATATATACGTTTTGGTGTTAATTGTGAGAACTTAGTTGTTTGAATAAAAGGAAGTTTGTAACCAGTTTAGTACCTGAGATCCATTTCGTTCGAGTTCACCGAACTTAACCAATAGACCCAAACATCTGTGTGATAACAAGCGCGGAAAACACGAGTGCACAGCTTTCCTCGTTGAAGAGATTCGTAGAACCGTCGATTATGCGAGTCGCCATATATCCATAAGACACCAGACCCCTGCCTGTGACCTGACCGCGGGGAACTGTAATCAACTGAGAAAACCGTAGCCTTAGTACTTCACTTTCTCAATTCTTCTTATAGGTAACTTGTCAGCAAACGACGTATTGTAGGTTGATTTGCAGCCCTGGGGGGACTCCATATAAAAAAGGCGGGGGGTGCTCGTCGTACGTTTTAGAGGTTAAAAACGCGATTTTGTACCTCCTATAGTGTCCAGCTACAAAAGGCCCAGCGGGAGCTTTTGCAGTACCTTTTAGGGTATCGAGCCGCCAAAAATATGACAGGAGGCAGCTGATTATGATCCATAGTCTCTTGCAGGAGATAATGTATTGTTTTAGAATTGGTATCTCTTAGGGGTGGAAAAAAATTTCAAAATTTCCGACTAGCACTCCTGTCCTTTTTATATTTGAGTCCCCTCCCTCTGGGATTTGAAGTTCAAACTGAATTCGAATCAGCTTTTTTGTCGACTTACCGTTTTTATAGGGCACCCAGTAGTTATTGATCCATCTTCCAAAACCATCCCAGAGCATATTACATCTCTCATTACACCACTGGGCACTCGTGTTGAACAATGAATCTAAATCTGTGAGAGTTAAAGCGGCAGAATCGCTAGGAACAACATTAAAACTGACTCAGGGTTTTCAATTGTGTGTCATATAACCAAAACAAAAGTTACTACTCTGGCCAATCAAAAAGGGCACAGAAAAATCCAGTGAGCCAATCAAAACGCTAAGTAATTACATGTAGCCGACGAAAAGCGCGGGAAAACGGGCATGAACCATTGACAATTGGTTTTGATATTTTGAAGACAAAATAAACCGTTGAACGATTTGCACACTGACTGGGAAGTAACTGAAATTCTGCAAATCCAAAGGACTGAGTTTTGTAAAACTTAACCACAAACACGGTAACTCGTTCTGTTTAGAAAGAAAACAAAGTAATTGACCTAGTTATAAGAAATAGAGTTTACGGAAACTCGTTAAAGTTAGAGCGATATATAGGGAAAACTAACAGCGTCTAAGTTTGCATCTCGCTTAAAGAACATAACTGTCAGGCAACGCTCTTGGACGATCAAAATGTTAAATTCCTTCCGTAGTAATCCAAACCGCGCCAGTTGGTTTGTTTAACGTGTAATTTCACATGGCTACTTACATTGAGCGTCCTGCAGATCAGCAGGCGGAACTTGTATGGAGAAATATGCACCGTAAAACAGGGGTCTGTTAATGTAGTCATCTGATGCTATTAACGTTCCTGGTCTTTGAAAAGATCCATGGCGGCAGCCTGCAATAATAATAATAATAATAATAATAATAATAATAATAATAATAATAATAATAATAATATATCATAATAAAGCAGCCGCGTATATACATTGGAAAGTCTGTCGCAACTATAATATAAAGACATCAGAAAAGTGTTGTTCAGGGCCACTTTTATTATTATTATTATTTTCAATTTTCAATTTTTTTTAAAATTGATGTAGCTCTGAATCCGCTACCATTTTTTTGCAAACTTTTTGAAAAGTTCAGTCTTCACTGACATTCTGATTACAGTTGGATATTAGAAAGGGGATCCTGAACTCATATTTGATTTATAAGCACTTAAAGCCAAAATTAAGAGCGTTTTTACACGTCATCCCGTTTTCATGATAACTTCTAATGTCAAGAAGGGGACCATAACTTGTTCATCAATGATTGGGCATTTGTTTGATGTCATTAGTGTACGTAGCGGTATAGATTTAAATGAGTGGTAACATATCGATCTATCAAGGCGAAGGAGCTGAAAAAATACTGGAAACTGTAATTAGCCACCTCAGATCTATCCCAAATCAGCAAACTCCCACGGTATCAGGGCGGCGTTCTGATACAATGAAAAGATTTTTTTAAGACAGACTCGGTAAGTAATGGAACAACATAATCTCACCTCTGCTAAACCAATCAGGAGGCGGATTTTTGAGTCCGTGACATAACGTGTAATCTAACACAATCTGCAGTGAATAGGTCCCTTGCTCCATTGGAAGAAACATGGCCTGGTAAGTGCCATTTTCCATATCGTGCATTGACGCTACAAGATCCGCCTGGCCGTTCACTCTCATACGCCACGCATCACCGCCGAACGTCTTTGTGCGGTTCAAGACCGTCACAGACTGAATGTAAACCTTACTGAAATGTCCCGCGGGATTGATTTCTGCCCCGGAAATATAACTCAGGTTAGGGTTAGTCTTGAAGTCGTCGGACCACACGTCGAAAGCCCAATGTCGCGTGTAGCTTGGGCACGAGTGAGTGTACGTCCGCCAATCGGTTCGCAGTGTACGTTCTCGGCACCAGTTCTTCTCAAAATATTGATAGGGTTCTTGTTCCAGTGTCAAGTTTTCGTAGAAGAGAACAAACAGTAGTAGCAGCGTTGTTTCCTTTGGAAGAACAGCCATGCGCGTAGCTTGCAAATACTGGAAAAATGTCCACATTAATATTTAGATTAGATTTGCAACTAGACGATCGCTTTGAAAATTTTTTGCAGCTAAGAGTTTTGCATTTTCTCTAAACAGGCACAATACTCTCCTCATACTGTCTGGGCAAAGTGCAAGGAGTTTTTTCTCACTCCCTCCCATAAGTTACCCAATTCTTCCGCGATTACTGTTACCATGACAGCTGTGTGGATGTTTCCGTGGGGGATGGAAAGACGTGTAATGTCGTTTGGTCTGTCCACGCGCGCAAAATCTTTGCACAGGTTTGGCTATTGCTAGATCTTAGGGTTTCGCGCATCTTTCGATTCGCGACGCGCTAGTTCGTGATACAAAAAAATCAATTCAAAACGAGTCCCATTTAAGCGACCTCATCAATCCCGCAGGCGAACACAAGTTCCCCACCTCCAACTCGTGCATATCTGCACCAGCCGGAGGCAGGCGCAATAATTTGGCTTGGCTGCAGCATCCCTATACAATGTCTCCCTGTTGGCGCTGAATGTACGAATATAGTTGTTGGTCTTGCGCTAGCATCCAAGTCAACCTTAACCCTTACTTTTACCCCTAGCATTCAAGCAGGGAAGCAATATAAAACCAACTAGTTAAAACCATGTAGTATACCCACTTATTCTGAGAATCCATGTGAAAAAAAGGTTAAGTCTGCATGCGTGTCAAGTGGCTCATTAGCAAGCACTTATCTCTGGTCTCTGTTGCATGAAGCGACTGGGAATATTTCTACTCCCCCTGGATGGGATGCTAGTCCATCGCAGGGTTACCCACAGCATTAAGTTCGTTGGTACCCATTTATATATACTCATGGGTGGAGATAAGCACTGTGAGATTTAACACAAAGCACCTAACCAGGGCTCGAACCCGGATCGCTCGATCTGAGAAGAGCGCACAAACCAAGAGGCTACCGCGCCTCAACAACTGGACCTGAATCGAGATATGTCAGACATTCGATTGTTCAAAACGTCTAACGGGGTCTTCGATGCCACCGACAACGCCGAAAGCTGGTCATAGAGCTTTCCACAGGTTGAAATCTTAACAAAGATGTGTTCACTTTAGAGTATTGTGTTTCAGCAAGTAAAGTTTAGAGGTTTCACAATAATTAGCATACAAGTGTAAAACATATCTACGCTTAAACTGAAAAGGGATTACATCTAGACATTAAAACATCCCAGAATGCGAGTTAAAGCACGTGGCATTCGTTAATTTCTCAAAATAGACCGTTTGTAAAGAAAAAAAAAGTTTGGAAATTCTCCACAAGAAATACCCCCTACCGAAGTACTATTTCATGATGTCTCTCGGAGTCTTCAACGTAACATTTTTAAGCCAGATAGAGTGTAGTATAGAAGCTTAATTAGTTTAGACTATAACAACGTTACAATAAGCGATCGATAGCCTAATAAGCAATCCTACCTTTTACCATGACGTCATAGTTTCTGTTGGATTATGAAAACAAAACAAAGCCATCGCTTCTAATCGTTTTTTCCAAACAAAGCAACAAATAATAACAGTAATAGTTGTCACATGTAAATTAGTTGTAGTTGAGCGCCATGTTAATTTTGCAGGTTCCTCGTCTAAGTCTGGCTGACCACCCGCAACCTTGTATGTGGCCATGGTCACAGATCTCTCACGGCCAAGCGTTAAACAGAGTGGGATCTGGGTGCCAGATTACATTGTCACTTCCGTTCGCTTCTGCGACTTGATCCGGCGGAAGTGAAATGTCGTAATTAACGAATTGTATACGGCTGGTGCGAATTGACCAATCAGGATTCCGCAGGCGGGAAAAACTGTACTGTCTTGACGTCAATGTATGTTAACAGAAAAGGCGTCAGAAAAGAAACGCCATTATACTGTCCCCTTTAATGTTTCTGCATTGTTAAAATCAACAAATGCGAGTTAAAAAGTAATTCCGGGACTTTAAACTATCAAATTATTTCTTCGTCTGTACATATTGCTTCCTTTTTGTAATTTGTAATTTTGTAATTTCCTTTCAAGGGATTGATTCTTTCACCTGACAAACGTTTTTCTACGACATAGATTCATATATCTTTGTATTTTGTTTTAACATTCGAGAAACGTTTTTCAACCAATAGAAAGCATATGATAAAACTGAAGAAATTAAAGTTTGTTTGGGGGGAGTAGAGGAGAAGGGTGGGAATGAAATTTAAGTTGATTATGGGGGGAGAGGGGCAGTGGTGGTTGTGAGCATGGGAAAGTTGGAGGACGAAACCAGACTTGAAACCGCCAAAGGTGTTCTTGTTGTCTTTCTTCTTATTTCCAGGGTTTTTGCTTCAGCGTGTCTTGCCATTAGAGTCTGATGTGCAGCTCGAGTCAGTCACATTCTCAGCCTGTCCATCACCCTGTTGAAAAAAGAAAAGCCAAATGAGAAAAATTACAAACGCGTAAGCGGCCTGAGGGCAGGTCAACGTTTGGAGTCACGCGTGGCAACGCTCACGGAAAGAGCCCTTAGATGTGTTTTTTTGGCAGGGTGGGGTTAACTCTCTTACGGTTCAGTCCTCACTTGGTTTCGATTATTCGTGTGGGATATAATATTAAAAGAAAGAACTATTATTTATGGCAGGGAAACTATTGTGGAAATCGGGAAAATATAGGAACTAAATTAGGAAGAAGTAGAAATGAGATCTAGATGAAATAAAGGAACAATTTCATAATGTAACAAAATTGAAACACATCCACATGATGCATAACCGAGTAAAGGCTCATTTTCTCTTGATATAACCATGATACACACCCGTTATCTCAGCAAAGTTAACTTCAGCCCGCCATTTCCACTGACAATGTCATATTCACGCCTTTAGGTCCGGGAGGCGGGGAACTCCCGTATAAAAAGAACGGGGGTGTCCGTCGTACCTTTTAGGGATTAAAAAAGCGATTTTAGTACCTCGTAGGGTGTTCAGCTTCAAAAGGTTCACAGCGGGAGCTTCTGAAGTACCTCAGTAGGGTATTGAGCCAAAAAAATATGATAGGAGATATGACCTGATTAGTAATTTTGTCTCAGAATTGGTATCTCTTAGGGGTGAAAAAAAATTCAAGCCACGCCCACGAAACAGAAACTTGTTACCTCTTACGGGTTCTTTTAAAAATGTCCAACGAGCAGCCCCGCCCTTTAGCTGTGCGTCATCGAGTGATGCAATTGGGATATTTGGAGAGCACTCTGCACAACTATAGAAGTTAGCAGTTCTGTCCCGCTGCGACTGGATCAACTATTACACTTCTTTCGTGGTCTCCTAACTTCGTGCGTGCATGTATGCTGAAGTATGAATCAATTGTAAATTGAAAAGCCGGAACATATTTGGAAACGCCATTGAAAATGTGTAAATCCTACTTTTCGCAGAGTATTATCGTCCCCAGATCCTCCTGTTCCTGTTCCTCTTAACGGGAATTTTTAACGGTGTATGAAGGTAACCTGGGACGAGTAAGGCGGTCAGCGGTTGTAGCATTTTTAATGGTACGTTGTACATGACTACCTATTGTGCCCCTGAAGTACAATAAGCGGGAACTCAAAGGCCAGCTTAAACATCCACAGAGTGTAAGTAGATTTTTATTACTTTGTACTTATTGATTCCATGGTTTTTCAATGTAAAACGCATTTTAGCACCTTAATTTATTTTTTTAGAAAAAATTATCCAAGGGAAACATGTTCAGGAACTCGTATTTTGGTAAACTTTAATTTAAGCTTGTTGCGACATATTTTCCTGTATTTTCACACGTGATTAACTTAATGTTAATGTCTCTAAAATCGGCATAGAAAGTGCCATATCATAGCCTTTGTTTAACTAAATAAGGATCTTTCAATTCTAAATTTGTGTTGCCCTAGCCTTCAGTGCAGTCGTTTTCCGTGTGCTCGTGAGTTATCGGTATTATCTCGCGATCGAGTAGATTCGCCGCCATGTTGGCTTAGAAAAAGTGGGCGGGGAGGGGGTGCGGACGGAAGTCGGAAGTTGGTCTTTATACTGTAGCAGCCTACACGACGAAAAGCTCTCTTTCGACAGTTTTTTCATACTTCTGAAAGAAAAATTAAATATACAGAAAGAAATAGCATTTAAAAACAAGTCTATTACTGCTTTCCAAAATCCTTTCAACATATTATTTAACATGCATTGATGATGTGTTTTCTTTGTTTTGTTAACTAAGTAAACGATGTAAATAGTGGCCATGTTTTTTTTTTGGTCAGTAATGTAATGCTTACCATACTGTACATATGTAGCAAGTGCAGCATTAGTAGAGCTGCCTTTTGTTTGAAACTTTAAAACAAAAAAAACAAAACAAAAAAACTGGACATTTTCAAAACTGTATTGTTTAGTTATGTAAACTAAATGATGTAAGTAGTCTTAACTATCATATTGTACTGTAAATAAGTATTAAGCTGCAATGCTATTTTCCCCTTTTTATTTTTAGTTTTTCCTCTGTATATTATGTTTGTAAATTAATAATTAATAATAATAATAATAATAAT